AGCTGATTATGGAGCCTTCATTGTAACAGTAATTCAGATGCAATTAGCCTATATAAAAGGCCTCAAATTGGAAGCATTGTCTGGGCCGTCTTTTTCACTCAATTCTGCAATAGGTAGATCTCGCCTTTCACCTAGACCGAGGTCGGTGATCTTGGGCTTAAAAAGGTTGGTGACCACTGCTCTAGTGTCTACCCATGTGCAGCCTCAAAATTACCCCCAAACCAAGGACGCGGCCTCTGTGGAATTCCAAGTATACTGGAGAATGGAACAGTCCTTCGGCGGCACTCGATGACGTAGCATCCTTGAAATATTGGCTTGGAAGCCAGTTTCCTCGAGATTGAGAAACGGCCCGGGACGCGAACATTTGAGAAATGACGAACGGCTCATTTCGGAGGACTCGTCGGGGGACGACCGGCTACCCTCCCTACAGGCGCTCGGACGCGAAGGCCCGCCCACAACTGCGTTCACATCTGTGACCGCAGTTTTAATTATTATTATTATTATTATTATTGTGAAATATCTGTCAGTGATGTTGTTTTGTAGCCTACATGTCAAAGTTTAAAATTGAAGAAGAACAAAAAGAACAAGAAGAAGAAGATTTTCTTATTACATTTCTTATTCGTATTATACACATTTATTATCACCATTATCCTGCACAATTATCAATAACTCCCCTTCACTTTTTCTATTCTGTGATTAAAAAACAAAAACTAGTTATAGGGTGTCGCTTGATTTCATTCACTGCTTCGTCTGGGGGGGGGCGGCTCTACATCCCACTGACGGAAAAGTGTCTCTGAGGATTTAGAAAAACAAGCACATTGAATTCACGTGTCGCTTTCTGAGTGCGTCATTGCCCTGACGCTGTGCATGCGGTGTATCTGGAGCAGCAGTAAACGGTTATTTTCCTGGACACTTCTTCACCTTTATTCAACAACATGTCATCTTTACTGAAAGTCGACCGCGAGCTGAAGAGCAAAGTGAGTGTGTGGATCCACCGAGAACATTCCACATGTGTTTGTATCACCGTAGAGGCTCTAAGCCGGTCAATAATGTGCTTCTTAGCGGCTCCCTGTAATATCATTAAGTTTTACAACAGTAGTCCTTGGTTCTGCTCACTGAAGCATTAACACGTTTTTCTTTACTTCGTTTGCTTCTCGGCGGAAGTAAACATTACTAATATTATATTAGATAGCTTTTTATTAAATTATAATGTTTACCTTTAGTGTATAACATATTGCATATGTCCATGTGTCCCAACAACAACGATGGTAGAACACTAACGGCAGTGGTGGAAGAAGTACTTGGATCCTTCATTTAAGTAAAAGTAGAATACTTTGGTCTGAAAACACTTCATGACCTAGGGCCTGAATTGAGTAGAAATATGGAAGTATTGTCAGCTAAATGTACTTTAAAGTATCAAAAGCACCCATTATGGACCATGGCTCTTTTGAAAGTAATATATTATGATAGAATATTACATTATTCCTGCTTTTAATTGCTTATATTTAACAATCTAACTGTGGGAGCATTTCATGGTTTTAGTTTGTTAATATTAAGAAATGTTTAGAATACAAAATATGTATATTGATAGTACCGTACTGCATTATTTCATATAAAATGCATGGAGGACTATCTTCATGCATCCAAAACCTATTAAACTGTGCAATTCAGCATTAGTGTTGTATTAATACTTATACATCACAGTACATATTGTATTAATGTACATGTTAAATAATGTATTGCAATGTGCACACTTTTAATTTAACTTATTTTGTTTATATACATGTATTTGATCTATTTATATGAAATGTTATTCTAACTTCTTATGTTTACATCAATATCTTTTTTATTTCATATTTTTATTGCACATTCTCCCTTTATAACTTCTTATGTTTATATAGAAATATATGTAGTATATATTATGTTATATTATCTTTTTTTTATTTTAGTATAACCTTTTGAGGTTTATAAAAATTAAATTGTTACTAATGTTTGCTATAAACATATTTATTTTAATTATATTTGATTGTATTTGAATTGGACATTTTGCTCTAACGTATCAGGTCTATCTAATATTCTCACTTTAATTTCTTGTATTTATATAAATATATGCATTTTATTTTATCTTAATGGACTTTTTACTTTAGCTTCTTATGTTGATGTAAATATTTGTATTATTTATGGTTTATTTAACGAAGGTGGAGCAACTGTCACATAGCCCAGTTTTTCCTTGGATAAATAAAGTATTTAGATTCTGATCAATTGTTTTAATTGGCCTCCAATGTGTTGGCAGGTGGAGACGTTCAGGACTCAGATCAGCAGTGAGGTAAGTGTCTGACATCACACACCTGAGCCAAGGATTTGGTCCTCTGGTCACTCTATTTGTCTTTCATTGTATGTCTGCTTTCTGGTTCACTTTATGTTTCATTGTAACAATCTTTGGGAAAAGTATGTTATTCTAATGAGTCAACGTTTATTCCTGTTTGTTTCTGTAGGCTGAGCACCTGGTTGCCTGCTTCTTCCCTAAAAAGCTCCTGGAGTTGGATCAGTTTCTCAGGGTGAGAGACCTGACTGCAAATTGAAATTGAATAAAGTGTAGAATCACGCATTATTACTGTCCTCGGTGTCTGGTCACTGATGGTAACGATAAGTTCACTTTAATAGCAACACATGGTTGAGCTGCTGAGCCGTGATGCAAATAAAGAGGTGCAGTGATGGCCGACATGGAAGTTAGCATCAAGAGCTCCCTGGCAAAAAGCTATGGGATCTTTCCATCGGATATTGGATATCGAGACAAAAAAAAATATCTGGCAAACACACCATTATCACACATACACGATTTGTTAAGCAGGATCATCTCCACAAATGAATAGCACTTTTATGATTTTTGAAGCCAGAAGTAAAAAGCTAACGTGAGGCAATAAACAAACGACATGATTATCCCACAGCTAAAGGTAGCTAATGTCCGACTTGAATGACATTAGTAGTCTCATTGGACACTTGATAGCATCTGCTGTTTTTAAGACATTTCATTTCAATCCTTTATTTAGACAGATTGGTCCCTTGAGATCATCGATCTCATTTACAAGGGAGACCTGCATCATCTAGTTCCACACGAAACATAAAAACAACATACAAACAAACAACAGAGGATATCATATTTACATATTCAACATTTACAAATACCCAGAGTGTCAGAAAGCATTTCATTTAGACGTGCCTTAAATACATTCAGAGAAATAAAAATGCTCAATTTCAATTTTGCCTGTTACACGGTTCCAAGCAAGTGGAGCTGCGCACATAAAAGCTGTCTTACCTAAGACAGTCCTTACTCTTGGCACATCTAACAAGACTATATCCTGCGATCGCAGACAATAGCTGCTTGCAACTTTCTGCTTTATCAATGAACAGATATAATACGGGAGTTTGCCCAACATAGCTTTATAGATAAAAGTGTACCAGTGACTGAGCCTCCGTACAGTGAGTGATGGTAAACCTGCCTTGGTATACAGTGTACAGTGATGAGTAAGTGCTTTACAATTTGTGACAAATCTCAGAGCACTATGATACGCAGCATCTAGTTTGCTCAGGTAGTTGGCAGGTGCATTCATATACATCAGATCACCATAGTCCAGCACAGGTAAAAAGGTCACAGTGACTAGCCTTTTCCTGGCCTCAAGTGAGAAACAGGACTTATTCCTGAAAAAGAAACCTAGCCTAACCCTCAGTTTTTTAAGCAGGTTATTGACATGAAAGCAGGTTATTGACATGAAAGCAGGTTATTGAATCAGTGGGTTGATGTTGACTGAGCTTTTACA